ACTTATAAGAACTTTACTTTTCAGAGAAGCTGACTGAATTAAAGAGATGCCAACGTTTCCTTCTTACAAAAGCACACTTAGCTTTGCAGTTGAACTTGCATGTGTTAAACCAGGGATCTCAATGTGGTTATTTGGGAAATTTAATAAACCGAGCAACCGTTGTTATTAGTTTGAATTTTACTGTCTTACAGAAGAAAATAAGGGAGTCCTAAAAAACTTTGCCATTATTGAATTCCTTTAGTGCTTGCATGCATACTATCAGCAATTTTATAGAGTTAATTATTGCTCATTACTGGCTTTGGTATTTTTTTTTTTTTGGCACAGCATTTGACCTTTTTGAATATTTGGCTTATATTGAAAGTGACCTTAAAGATTTTCTGTTGGCCTACAGAAATTTAGCAAGCTTCAAAATTTTGACCGTATTTCTTGTTTTTGTCGATATCACAGCAGTAATGCAGATGATAGCCATAATCATCATTTTATCATTAATACACTGGGTGGTATTAATGATACAAACCAGTATCATTTTATCATTAATACACTGGGTTGTTTTTCAAAATTCTTATCTTACCACTTGATGTTTAAAGCACAATTTAGGGTGCCATGGTAGGTAAGCCTCTGCTAGTTAGTATGGTTATGTCTTGCCTTTTGAAATCCCAGAATTTATTACTGTTCTATTACACAATCTTTGCAACTATGTAGATAGCCTGTACAAACTTTGGCTTGGAAATTGACAACCTGTTTCTAGGTTTTCCTAAGAATGCTGGCATTTCCTTGTAATTAGTCATTTTGAATTATATGAAAATAAATGATGTCCAAATGTTAGTGAAATGTCAAATGAAGTCACTGACATATAAAATGTACCCAATTTTCCAATTTTTTTTTTGAAAAATGAGAAGCCGATGACCACTTGATTAGTTTATACCACTGCCCCAAAGAAGCAGATTTGCTAAAAAATTCCTAATACATTTATATATGAGAAAAATAGATTATTTGGTTTTCCAGCTAACCTTGACACCATTCCTTATTCATGGTGTCTTTTATTCTTATCAGAGAAACTGATACATTTTACTTTCAAAAACAATAAGAAAATCGGTTGTATTACTTAAGTAATGAAATAAGGATAAAAATAAATTGCTTCATTATAAGCCTGCCACTTTCACATCTTCCCATCTTCTCTGGGTCTGAATAGCCAAGTGCAAGAGATTAATTGATGTAGTGTTACTGGATTATTTTGGTAAATTTTCTCTGAGGAGTTCAATGTTTTGCAGAGTGGAAGTAATTCAATAACTATTAGCCTGTCCTACAAATTCATGAGGGAAGGTGAGGATAATTCAATGCATATACTATGGCAACATGTTTGTCCACAAGGAGCCCCAGAAAACTCCAGTAGAGGCCAAGACAGTCATTAATCTAATAAGGATTAAGGGTTTCTTTCTTGGCTTTCCCAAAAAGAAAAGGAAAAACAGAAGCAATGCACAATCAGGAAAAGGTCAGAGGCCCCAGTGGTGTGGCAAGAGTTCAGTGTGGCTACAAAGAATTTGGGTAAAAGGCAGTGAAATTTCCTATTCTCATGGCTGCTACTCATTTGCCTAGTTTGGGAGAAAAAAATTTTATGGTCTTTAGAAAGAGGAAGATACTATTAGTAAGAGACAAATGTCTTTTACTTTGTCGCACTGTTTATGCTTCTGGGTCATGAAGAGATCAGGAGATGGGAAAATAGGCATGAAAGAATACGGACAGCAGAGTCACAATGACAGTGCCCATATACATGGTAAGAAGGTCTTCTGAGAGTAAGAAAACTAGTGGGTTTGCATTCTTCTCTCTGAACTCTATTAGCCTTGAGTTCACAGTAAACTTATATCCAGCTAATTTATGCCTTCTAGATTGCTTCTTGGTGGAAAGGAGTCCTCATTTCTCCAGAACATGACCACCATAGTGCTTCATTGATAGTAACTTAGACTGTTCAAAGTAGTGTAGGGAGTTTTAAAGCCCTTTGAACAATAAATTGAAGGAAAATATGGAAATAACTTCTTCCTATGCCATATTTGTCCTCTCTAGCAGGTTCTGTGCATTAATAGTTTTGTTTTATATATTTGCAGAAACTCAATATAAAAATAAACACTTTCTATTATGAAAAATCTCATACCTACAATTTCCCCTTCTTTTTTTGCATGTGAATTTTGTAACCATGGCAGTTGTGCTGACCTTACATTTCTTAGTTTCAGCTTCCTTTTAATTTCCTGCATTTAATGTTGGCGTGTAGTTGCTATTTGACCTTTCTATTTCTCTACTTTTTTTATCATATACCAGTTACTGTGTTACTTCTTTGCTTTTGAATTTGTGTGGATATATGGGAAACTTGTGTTAGGGGTGATAGTATTCAGAGAAAAGGATTTCTTAGAATCTCTTTTCTTGATAGCTGGTACTGAAGAAATCTCTAGTCTCTCTGAAGATAGACTCTGTCTGGATCATTCACTCATATGGTGCCAGAAGGTCATTTGTGTTTCAGCGGATAATTCAACTTGCATGATTTTTATTCATATTTTCTTCTTAAAAGAGCAAACCTATCACCCCTAGTTACCAGTGACCTTGATGAATATGAATAGCAAGAAATCCCTCCTTTCCATTAAAATCCACATACAGTTAGGTTGGGATCTCCACTTCTCATTATTACTGTTTGAATTTACTGAGTTTCAGCATATGGATAATTAACTTTAGTTGTGAATGAGAGGAATTAAAATGCCTCAGCAAGACCGTACATATTGAATGGTCTGGTCTTTCGATTTCCCAAGCAGTGTCTATTTGTCAGCTATTATGGTTTCCATCCCAAGATGACTCCTCTAGTATTCATTTCTTCATATATTGAAACTTGTAGGGATTTTTTAAAAAACATTGCTGTTTTCATTTCATATGTACCCATTTCTGAGCTTTTTCCTCTTATTCTAGAAAATAATCATTACCCATTATCTAGGAAACATTTTTAATCTTCTGATTAAAGATTGCTTAATGACCGTACCTATTTGTTTGGTTAATGGCATGTTTTTCTTTGTTTTAACATTGGAGTTTCTGCATGGATTTATAATACAAGGTTCTTTTTTTTTTTTTTTTTTTAACATTAGATAGGCATGAAGCCTCCGTCTTACAGCTGCATGTGTAGTTACTATTGAAGCAAATGCCTACCTAACTTGACAGTCTTGGTGTGTTTAAAATTTTTTGAGTTTGCAAATAAGCATATTAAGTCTACTGATGGAGCCTTCAGGCAGTGAACAGTTATATGAGGACCCTGATCCTGGAGGCAAATCCCAAGATGCAGAGGCCAGAAAGCAGACAGAATCCGAACAAAAGTTGTCTAAAATGACCCACAATGCTTTGGAGAACATTAATGTGATTGGCCAAGGCTTGAAGCATCTCTTCCAGCACCAGCGCAGGAGGTCATCAGTGTCTCCACACGATGTGCAACAAATTCAGGCAGATCCAGAACCTGAAGTGGATCTGGAAAGCCAGAACGCATGTGCTGAGATTGATGGTGTTCCCACCCACCCCACAGCTCTGAATCGTGTCCTGCAACAGATCCGAGTGCCACCCAAGATGAAGAGAGGGACCAGCTTGCATAGTAGGCGGGGCAAGCCAGAGGCCCCAAAGGGAAGTCCCCAAATCAACAGGAAATCTGGCCAGGAGATGGCAACTGTTATGCAGTCTGGCCGACCCAGGTCTTCATCAACTACTGATGCCCCTACCAGTTCTGCTGTGATGGAAATAGCTTGTGCTGCTGCTGCTGCTGCTGCATGTCTACCAGGCGATGAGGCTACTGCAGAGCGGGTAAGTCTGTTAGAGTATCTTTTTCTGTTAACTTATTGTTCTTTGTATGTAGGGTTCTCCACACTTTTCTTTGGTAACTAAAAAGAGATAATCTCAGCAAGAGATATCTCAAAGTTATGGTAAAAGATAGTTTCCATTTTCACTAAATAAAGGAGATGAATAATAACTACTGCAGCTAATAAATGCATGCTTATAATTACTATTTGCTTTCTAACATATTGCTATATTTTATCCTTTTGCTAAAATCTTTAGTATACTTAATGTCTTTATGTATTAAAAGTCTCAGTTTTATGGTAGAGGAATAAAGATGCTTTGTTTTTCCTTTGGTTTGCACATGAATTGGTTTTTTACATTAATGAAGGTAATGAATAAAGTTCTAGAATATGAGTTTGTGCTTAGTGTGGAAATATACCAAATTGCTTATAATTTTCAAACACACTGTATCACATCAGCATTCAGTATACATTTTGCTTTTTGTAGTAAAACATATTCATTTTTATAATTTGCTCTTAATAAACAAACAGGTGGGTTTTTTTGTTTGTCTTTTGTTTTGTGATCTGCCTGGATGGGAGAACTAGGCATAACAAATTTAGGGGAAACTCCTTCCATGAAACTCTCACCTCACCTCTCAGTTATGGTTCATTGAAGCACATATAAGAAATAGTTCTCCTAGAGTTTGAAAACTCAGGTACTTGTAGTGAAAATGAGTGAACTCAAGTGTTATGGAGCTTGGAGAAATTGAAGAGTACATGCATTGTCTAAAGGGACAACATCGTCTTAGCTTTAGCTGATTATTGTCATTTAGGACTGTGAGCCGAATCTTGCAAGGGCTTCTGATTTTTCTAAAGAAACTGGAAAGCTTAGATGAGTAATCTTTTGATTTTTAATATATTATTCAAGCCACACAGAACAAACACATTTGTGGCCAGGTCTCTCCTATAAGTCACCATCTTGCTATCTTTTGGCTTTACTTCTATGTGTTCCTCAAGGTTTTTTGTGATAGTCAATCACTTTTCTGTATCGCTTCTGGCACAGGTAAGTTTATTTTACTGGATATTTATCCTGGATTTAAATATTGAATCTCGTGCCTTTAAACCTCTCCTAATTGTGACATTACAAACAGATAATGGACAGCATATCATTTTAAGAAGTTAAACCTGTCAGAATACAGATTCACCAGAATAACAGAATCATCAGAATAATGATTCATATCATTAAAGTTTTAAAATATAATTAAGGAAAAGTAGCATATATTTATGTGCATAATAGTTATCTTTAAAGACATTTGGTCATGGATTACACAATCTAGTTCACAATAAAAACTAACAGTGCAACTGTATAATTTGTCTTAATCTGTACCAGAGACAATTAAGAAATTTATTACTAGTGATTCTTGGATTACAGACTTTTATGTTAAAAAGAAAAATATGAGTAAAGTATACTTTGTGCATTCGTGTTGTTTGTTTTGGAAATCTTCATAGAAAGAGAGCAAAGAGAATATTCTTTTTTCAAAAAACTATTTCTTTAATGTTCTTTGTCAATTTTATTGACATATTTACAGTAAAACTCACCAGTTTTAAATGTACAATTTGATTAGTTTTGAAAAGTGTATAGTCATATAACAACAATAATGATATAGAACATTTCTATCACCCAAGAATGATTTCTCATGCCCCTTTGCTGCAGTCAGTCTTCTTTTCTCCATCCCTTGGCTCCTGGCTTATCTGCTTTCCTATTATTATTGTTTTGCCTTTTCTAGAATTTAATATGTTCATGGGATTATACAGTATAGTCTTTTGAGTTTGGCTTTTTTTTATTTGGCATAATGCTTTGGAGATTCACTTGTGTTGTTGCATTGTTCCTTGTCATTGCTGGGTGGTATTCCATTGTGTATCTATTTATGCATTCACTGGTCGATAGATATTTGGATCATTTTCGTTTTCTGGCTATTATGAATTAAACTGCTATGAAGTTTTGTATATAGGTCTTACAGACATGTTTTCATTTCTCTGAGTTATATGGTAAATATATCTGCACTGTTTTACTCACAAGACTTTTGACACCAAATGTGTGGGTTTTTTTCCACAACAACAACCAGTTATGACACCAACTCAATATCCTGTAATTCAATTCGTTTCTGACAGTAACTGCCAGGAGTTAACATAGACCTCACGGGTTACTGACTCAGTCCCACAAGACTGCCCCGACTTCAGATATCAGTTGCAAGTCCCAGGTTGCCACTTGTACTTCTGACCAACTTAAATCAGGTGTTTTTACAATTTCCTCCTGAGGTTCAGTAATTTGCTAGAACGGTTCACAGAACCCAGGAAAGCACTTTACTTATGTTTACTGGTTTATTATAAATGATACAACTCAGGAACAGCCACATGAAAGAGATGCATAGGGCAAGGAATAGAGGGGATTTTGGTGGTGCATAGCTTCCATGTCCACTCTAGGCACACCACCCTCCCAGCACTTGTTCACTAACCTAGAAGCTCTTTAAACATTGCCATTTCGGATTTTTATGGCAGCTTCATTACATAGCCATGGTTAATTAAACTGTTGACCACTGGTGATTAACTCAGATCTCCAAAACCTCTCCCTTCCCAGCAGTTTGGGAAGTGGGGATGAAAGTTCCACTCCTCTAATCATGCCTTAGTCTTTTTTGGTAAGCTATCTAGGGGAGGTCACCAATCATCTCATTAGCATATGAAAGATATTCTTACACTCCCGAGATTCCAAAAATTTTAGGAGCTCTGTGTCTGGAACAAAGAACAAATATATACTTATCACAGTATATATTTACCTCATAAAGTGACTATCATTTTGCATTTCTACCATCCAAGTTGTTGCAGATGGCAAGATTTCATTTTTTATGGCTGAGTAATAGTCCATTGTATATATGTACCATCTCTTCTTTATCCATTCATCCATTGAAGGATACCCTAGTTGCCTCCATTTATTGGCTATTGCAAATAATGCTGCAGTGAACATGTGGATTCACATGTCCCTTTAAAGTATTGTTTTGGGTTTCTTTGGAAAAATACCCAGAAGTGGGATTACTGGGTCCTTCTTTGTCTCTTACAGACTTTGTTTTAAAGACTATTTTGTCTGGTATAAGTGTTGCTACCCCAGCTTGTTTGTTTGTTTCTGTTTTCATGAAATATCTTTTTTAATCCACTTACTTTCAGTCTGTGTGTCTTTCGATCTGTAGTGAGTCTCTTGTAGGCAGCATATATAAGGGTCTTGTTTTCTTATCCATTCAGACACTCTATCTTTTGATTGGAGCATTTAATCAATCTACATTTAAAGTAATTGTTGATGGATATGTAGTTAATGCCACTTTATTAATTATATTTTTGACCTTTCTTCTTCCTAAAGAAGTACTTTTAACAATTCAAGTAATATTGGTTTGGTGTTGATAAACTCCTTTAGCTTTTTCATGTCTGGGAAGCTCTTTATCTGACTTCAATGCCAGGTGATAGCTGGATAGAGTAATCTTGGTTGCAGGTCCTTGCTTTTCATCACTTTGGATATTTTGTGCTAGTCTCTTGTGGCCTGCAAAGTTTCTGTTGAGAAATCAGCTGACAGTCTTATGGGAGCTTTCTTGTAGGTAACTAACTGCTTTTCTCTTGCTGCTTTTAAGATTCTCTCTTTGTCTTTACCTTTGGCATCTTAATTATGATGTGTTTTGGTATGGGCCTCTGAGTTCTTGTTTGAGATTCTGTGCTTCCTAGGTCTGTATATTTATTTCCTTTGCCAAATTAGGGAAGTTTTTTGTCATTATTTCTTCAAATAGGTTTTCAATTCCTTGCTCTCTCTCTCCTCCTTCTGGTACCCCTATGATACAAATGTTGGTATGCTTGATGATGTTGTAGAGGCTCCTTAAACTATCCTTATTCTTTTGGATGTTTTTTTCTTGTTGCTGTTTTTTGATTGGGTGTTTTCTGCTTCCTTATTTTCTAAATTGCTAATTTGATCTTCTGTTTCGCCTAATCTACTATTGATTCTCTCTAATATAGTCTTTTTTTTTTTTTTTTTTTTAAGGCAAGGCAACCCTTGGTTAACCTCATAGATTACAAGGACCTTGTCAGTTTATAATCCCTTATTTTTATTTATTTATTTTTTTTTACGCCTACAGCTCTTAGTCTCTAATATATTCTTTATTTCAGTTATTGTATTCTTCATTTCTGTTTGGTTCTTATGTTTTCAATCTCCATTTTTATGTTTCCTATCTCTTTCTCAAAGTTCTTACTGAGATCAGTGTTTTTGAATTCTGTATCTGTTAGATTGCTTGTCTCTATTTAGTTTAGTTCTTTTTCTGGAGCTTTCTTTTGTTATTTCATTTGAGACATGTTTGTCTCCCCGTTTTGGCTGCCTCCCTGTGTTTGTTTCTATATATTAAGTAGGGCTACTATGTCTCCTGATCTTAGTAGAGTGGCCTAATGTAGTAGGTGTCCTGTGGGGCCCAGTGGTACAGTTTTCCCTGGTCATCTGAGCTGGGTGCTCCAGGTATGTCTCTTGTATGGGTTGTGTGTGCCTTTCTTTTGTAGTTGAGATTTCAGGAAAGTCTGTAGTATGAGCCAAGATAGGCCATTTGTATGGAAAAGCCACTGGAAGCAGCCTGGGTGGGCCAGTAAGTTGTGTGGGGCAAGATCTCAGGGAATCACTAGGGCAGGGTGACCAGTGTTAGCTTGGTTGATGGAGACTCAAATATGGCAACTGCCTGTGTCTTCATGCTGGGAGAGGGGAGGGTTCAACAAAGGAATAATGGATTCTGCCAGCACTTCTCTCTGGGGGAAAGCTGCCCCTCCAGCCCTTGCCCTGAAGCCAGGCAGTTCAGTTTCTCCCCGTATGTCTCTGGCACCTTTCAAGCTGCTGCCCTAGCACTGGAGTTCGCAGTGAGTGAGTACAAGCGTGGGACCTTTAAGAAGAGTTCTTGGGACTCCAGCAGCCACATCTCACTCAGCCACAATTTCTGCTGGTTTTCACAGCCAGAA